TACGCTTAATATAATCTTTGAATAATAAAAGGTAATTCAACAATTGAGAACCATATTTAAATATTAGTAGATATGTACGTATGATATAGTACATTTTTTAATTTCGCGGGGGGGGGTCTGAAGCCACTTTGGAGAGTTCTGATGTCAAGCATGTAAAAACGGTATAATATTATTGTATCATTAGTTTAAAAAAACACTAGTTTTAATGACGAATTGAAATAGGGCTTATGAAGGGCTACACCAATTTTCCGGAGTAGAACACAATATTCTAAAAGTAATTTTGTTAAAAATTATCGTGCAGCATGAAAAGACGAGCTAACAGCAGGCGTTGCTCGCTTGGTTTACGTGTATTTAGCATACGGGCTGCTTTTTATAATTTACGCAACGTGTTAATCAGTTAACCGTATTTGGAAAAGGTGAAAATGTTAAAGGATTAAAGTGCAAATAACTAAGGTGAAGCTCTAAGAGAGTTGGTGTATTTCATGAATGCAAAGTAAAAGATAAAAAGTACGGAACAAAGGGTGAAAAAGTATTGATCTAAAAAGTGGGGTTAAGGTGTCACCGAGAACAAAGATAGATGAAATAGTTGATTAGTCGTTGAAAAGTGAAATCGAAAGAATTAAGTAAAATAATGATGATGTAAGAAATAAAACGATCGAGGAAGAGACTGCGAGGAAAGTAGAGAGGCTGAGGGGAGGCGCGAAGATGAGCAGCGAAAAAAAAGGAAGAATGATCTTAGGGTAAAACGAAAAACTGAAGCTGAAGACATTACGTACAATAGTAAGGGACTTAAAAGTGATTGACAAAAAAGATGAGAGAAGAGAATAATACAAATTTTACAAGCACCCTCTGCAACCTTTATACGTAAAGCGTGTTAATCCTAACTCTACCGCTGGTATCCCTAATCTAAAATTCTTCATTTACAATCTGTCAATCATAACCCCCTCTTACCAAATTCCTAACCTATCCCCCATTTATACTCCACTCTTTATCGTTTCCTTTTAACACTCTTACACTCACCTTCCAACCTGCCCCTCCCCAGGGCACCCACCTTTTCCTTTACTTTTCATTGTATTAACTTCGTAATGTATATTATATTATAAAGACGTACATTGATAGGCATACTTTAGTTAAATGTTGTAGGTAGCTTACTTAATTGTCGCCCGGCACTTAATTGAAAGGATTTACTTTTTTACACCATTCATTTTTTTTTATTGGCTGGGTGCATGAGGTACTGAAATACTTGAAGCGCCCGTGGTGAACAAAATTGGCAACACAGGACCCGGATGATGCATAAACCGTATTGCATAAATAAAATGAAAACATAATGTACAAAATAATAAATGTTTATCGATTTCTAAAATGTGTCGTACGCGATGAATTAAATATAAATATTATTAATTAGTAATTGGTTTCATAATTATTTGCCAATAAAATACCGTGCATGAAGTGCTTTAAGCTGAAAAAACATCTGACTTGACAAGAGTATTACTAAATGTATAAGTATATGTATCATCGGCTGCTATCTACACTCCACATTTAAAACGTTATTTGTACCACCATTGATAAATTAGTCGCAATTTTTTGACAATCATTAGACTTTCGTTTAAAATTCATAAACATGTGAATAGAAAATCAGGTTCTAATTAAGTATTGATTACTTCATTACCATCGTTTGTGCACAGTCTCTTTGAACCGGTAAAAAATTAAGGGTCGGTTTCACGATTTTGTCACCACGTAGAGGCGCTGTACGCTACACATCCAGTTAATAATCGATTTACAGCGTACACAAAAATCTTCCACTTTTCTTTACTTTAATGTGTCTCTTTAGACTCTTGTGAATTATAATTAATTCTCCACATAAATTATTCAGGTCTTTCAGTATACGAATTCACGATATTATATATAAATAATCACTGTTCAACTCGGATTTAAAATATGCTTGTATTTGATTTTTGTGTAAGCTCGTAATCTCTCATTTAATATTTTGTTAATTTAAAATTAGTCGGTTACAACTCCATTAATGCTGAAGCTTTTGATACTCCCTCTTTAAAAATCGACCCTACATTAATTTTATGTAATTCAACCTCTTCCTTTACCTCTAATCGTCTTAAGCGTAGTTTTTCAGCCTCTAAGATATTCCTAGAAGCCTCTAGCATCATGTCTACTATCCCTCGCATGGTTTCAGTCGTTGTGGATTGAGTTTTCAGCATATCTTTGAAGTCATCCAAGTTAGAATTCAGGTCTTGGACAACCTCCACGAGGTTGGTCACTTGCTGGGCTGAGGGCAGGGTCATTGCGTTGGTTTTCCGCAATGTACCCGTTCTAGCTTGAGACGTCCCTCGATCACTTGAGGAAGTGTCTTGTCTTGGATCATGTGGGCGCTTCATATGGAGCCGGCGAGGTACTTTGTAATCCCTCGAATCTTCTGCTTCATCAGAGAACCAGAGAGACTCGTGTTGATGTTCCTCTGACATAAACTCTTGCTCTTGGGGCTCGAGGTCAAGTGCATCGTCTTCGTCACTATCATGCTTGCCGAAACGCCGCATTTTCTTTTATCTGTCATGGGTGTATACAAATCATTAAGTTTACAATTTTTCTTCTAGCTCTAATCATGTTGTATTAATACATAACGCCCTTGCGTTAAACTTTATTTGTAATTATTGATAAAAAAAAATGCTGCTTTTAGTTTTGTAATTTTCTGTTTTTGGTAAGTACGATATACCTTTACTCTAACAGTTGGAAGATACTTTAGTTACACTTCTACCTTTTTTACAAAAAAATCTCATCATCCTGAATTTCTAGGCTCTATAGTAAAATGCAAAAACTCTTACCTTTAAATTTACGTTTAGGATTTATTTGAAATGATGGCTTTCGATAGTCTTTAAGTAATTTAGGTGCGTCAAAATTAGAGGAAAACAGATTTTTACATCAGGAAATGAAAAATTGGCTATTCCAGCTTTACTGAGTTTTTTACGCACGGCATAAAGTCTCTCGAAATTCCTTATTGCATTCGGTACAATACTAACAAAACTTAGAGAGGGAAAAACTTGAAGAACACAACTTACAGCAAAAAAAAAAAAAATTAAGTTGATGTATGCGTCGTCTCATAGATTATAGCATGAAACATATCCTATCTTAAAAGTTCTGACAATTTTGAGAAAATGAAAATAAATAATAAGTTAAATGTTTATATTTTCTAGAAGATAAGAAAAATTGATGGAAAAATAATTTAATTTTTTGAAAAATTTCAAAATATATTGGGATTTGATTAAAATTTGGGGGTTGACAGAACAGCTCCTTAGTGAGGGGCAAAATAAATAAGCTGATATCTATTTAAAAACAGTGTAGATAGTTACTTCTCACATATTCCGCTATAATCCACGAGACGTCGCTATACCTGCGCTGAAAAGTGCGAATTGACGGTCTATTAAAGTGTTTTTATTCCAAGCGATTAATCTTGTGAGACTTACAGTTGTTTTTGCTTGCAATAAACGGAGAGCTATTAGATAACAAAATTGAGAAAGTTTTAAGGTAATTGTCCCTATTCGTGGAACATGAGAATTCATGTATGTACTTGTCATGCAAGTCCTGTTATAAAAATATTACGACAGTTTTGTATTTTATTTATTTATATAAATTCACAAGAAATGTTTTATCATACGTAAATAAAAGGCCAATTGTAAAGATGATTTAACAAATAGGGAAAAAGTTGAACTGTACATATTATGGTACCAAACTTCAACGAGTAACTAACATAAGTGAACAAATAAGCGTTATCACTACTTCTGTTAAATACAATGATGCTTTTGTGTTTTTTTTTTTTAAAGTTTCATAAGTAGGGACATAATTATGAAACAATTAATAGAATGTTTCATAGTTAGATTTTTGTCTTAATATAATCTTTGAATAATAAAAGGTAATTCAACAATTGAGAACCATATTTAAATATTAGTAGATATGTACGTATGATATAGTACATTTTTTAATTTCGCGGGGGGGGGTCTGAAGCCACTTTGGAGAGTTCTGATGTCAAGCATGTAAAAACGGTAAATTGTTTTATACACCAATGTCGCGACGACGTCTTTTCTATCATGTACTCGCACACACATAAGTATAATTTTGCAATTCACAGATCCTTCGTTTATGGCTCTCTCTCACCCACATGAGAATCCCACCAGTTGATTTTAGGTCACGACACATTTATAAAATATTCTGTTTACGTATAGACAGAGAAAGCGTCTTTTATTACCTTCAATAAGTACTTGTTCTCCAAGCACTGCAATGCAACTCCTTACTGACGATTTGCTTCAACAGCCTTGGAAGTTTAGAAACAGTTGGAACCTCTAGCGTTGACTTTGATTTGTATAGCTAATGTGAACTGTGAAGAAACACTTTTTTAATATAATGGGGCATCCAAATTTTCCTTGCAACGAAAGATTTTTTCCGGCAATGATACACTTCTCTTTAGACCCATAACCTATCGGATACAAACAAAAACCACTTAGTATAACCCTCACCTCTGATGACATAAGGTTCATTCAAGCCCTCTCTTGGTTCGGTACGGTTTGGTTCGGTTCGGTCGGTTCTGTTCTGGGATCAAAAAACATCAAAAAACACGCGTTCACGAGAATTTGGTTCTGGAACGCGTGTTTAATGGGTGTTTTCCGCAATTGTCATCAGCAAGTAATTTAAGGTTGCACTCTATGCTATACCATCAGGTCAGTAAGTCCACTACCTTGAATTAACTGGCGCTCTGTTCCGTAATCTGGCCAGTTAAAATAGCAGACGACAGTCAACAGCGATGAAATCTTCTCTTTTTTCTCGACTTTCACGTCGTCTGCTGTTTTAACTGCGCAGTTAATGGCCAGATTGCGGAATATATGGCGCCAGTTTAATTCAAGGTAGTTGACCTCGGTTGACTTACTGACATAACGGTAACGTAGAGCGCAAATTTAAATTACTTGCAGGTGACGACGATTGCGGAAAACACCCCAAGCGGCGTTACCACCACGACCTACGTAACTTTACAGCCTCTGATTTTATCATTCTGGTAAAGAGAGCACGGTGTAAGATGTACGTAAAGTTATGTGTAGTAATTAAAGTAATTGCTACTAAGTAATGCCATATGGTCGATTTTATTAAACCATATAAATATCTATATTTTTGGAGCTCGACTTTTGGATGAAAAATAGATTGTAAACTTGCCGCAAACAGCACAGATCACGTCAACTGTTAATTATCTATTTATTAAATTAGTTGCGGCTGGTTTATAATTGATTAAATAGCTCTCATATAAGAAGTAATAATTATTTGGATCAGCGCCATCTAGCGGTCTTTATTTTTTGGCCAAAAGTGGCTCCTAAAATTCTTAATCAGAGCATTCAGGATTAGAGCCATTTAATCAATTATAAACCAGCCGCAACTAATCTAACAAATAGATAATAAAAAGTTGACGTGGTCTGTGCTGTTTGCGGCAAGTTTACAATCTATTTTTTATCCAAAAGTCGAGCTCCAAAAATATAGATATTTATATGGTTTAATAAAATCGACCATATGGCATTACTTAGTAGCAATTACTTTAATTACTACACATAACTTTACGTACATCTTACACCGTGCTCTCTTTACCAGAATGATAAAATCAGAGGCTGTAAAGTTACGTAGGTCGTGGTGGTAACGCCGCTTGGGGTGTTTTCCGCAATCGTCGTCACCTGCAAGTAATTTAAATTTTTAACTGGCCAGATTACGGAACAGAGCGGCAGTTAATTCAAGGTATAGTTGACTTACTGACTTGATGGTAACGTAGAGCGCAACCTTAAATTACTTGCTGGTGACGATTGCGGAGTACACCCTTTTTTTTATGTGTTTTTTGGTCTTAGAACCAAACCGAACCGAACTGAACCAAGGGGGGGCTTGAACGAACCTTATGTCTTAGCAGAAGCTCTTTTTTTGTGCTCCAAAAATAAAGGTCAATAACACTTGAAGTATCTGCTTAATAAGATGTCAAATCAATAGATCTTTATCGACATCAAAAGTAATTTTCACAACATTTATACAGGCTTTAGTAAATAAATGGCAGCATCCCTGTTACGTCAGAACAAAGTACTGTATTTCTTCGGATTCGGGAGGAAAGCTCACGACCTTATTGTAACCTCCAATCGAACGATCATGACTAGCCGGGCCAGAATGGAAAGGGTCGTGGAAGACCTGCAGAAGAATCCTTACTTTGAAAAGTACGCCCAAAAAATTGCCAAACTTCAGGAAACCAGTCCCGAAGAGTTTCTGTCGAGGTGCGAGGAAAAGGAGCGCAAAATCAGGGAGGAAAAAGGTAACTCATCTTCCTATGCACCTGTGCACCTTTGTGTTTATTTTTTAATTACACCTGTCATTTTTCATTATGACTTTCGCTTCACTTAAGCTATATAAGTAGCCACGAATGAATGCAAGGCATTGTCTTTTTCGAAAATCGTAGTCCAGTTTTGTTTGTCATTTCCATAGCAATTAATATTATAAGACTGTAAACATAGAGAATATCGATTATGAAAACGAAATATCGCTTTTCAAGAGCGTCGAGCCAGGGAAAAGAAAACGTTTGAAGCGTCAAAATCAGCTAAGTCGATTGTTGAGCCTGGAACACAAACCAAGGAAGCCAGATTGGACAGCATCATGAAGTTAGATTTGATCCAAGACAAAACGAAAGAAGAAATCACGGAAATCTGGCATCAGTATCACAAAGAAAAAGATTGTATCGTAGGAGTCCTGACGAGAGAGCTGTTCGAGAAGATGTTTGAGCGTAGCAAGAAATATAACACGTTTCTGCTACCCTTGCCCAGAGAACAGGGGTACGAATTTATAATGATCCAGTTTCATGGAACAGAAGTTCATATGACACCTCTGTTGTGGTATCAGACACACAAAGAAAATGCTCCCGAGTGCTTGACAATGATTCACTATACCGAATTGTTGGACAGCAAAGGCATTGTTTTGATGAAAGGTGAATTCGACATGAAATCGATCACTGTAATAGAAGCGCAATGTTTGGTGAATGAGCTTCAAATGTATTACAACTCTGATCACCCTCAGAGGTTGAAACTACTTGAGACGTTCAATGAAAAGCCAAATGAGTTCAAGCACATGGACTTGATAGCACACTTAGATACTATTTCTTTTGATGCAGGTGCCAGTGGCAAACTGTTGAAGAACAAAAATTAATCAAGTTGTGAGATTCTGAATATACATATACATAAAAAATGAAGTTTTACGTGTACGTTTCTTGTTATCTTTTTAGTTGCAATTAAATTTCAAATAATGCTTTATAAATTAGTTGAATTTTGTACTGATGTATACATTTGGAATAACATGTTTTTGTGTAAGATTTTTGCATTATTAAAATACAAAATTCAATACATAATTAAGTTTCATGAATTTGTAAAAATTGAGTGATTTTAATAAATGCCATCTAGAGTTCTTGCTAACTTTTTTTTACCGCGTATTTTCGAATATTGTAAATTCAAGCAAAGATTAATAGGGTCAAATGATTTTCAAAAAGAAGTACCTTGCATCAGCAGCTCTGTAAAAATTTCACTCCAAAATTGCACTGATTTTACAGTATTTTTTACTCATCCAAAGAAAACGTCCAAATCACAGTCACTTTGGAAAACCATGTCGCACGTGTGGAGATCCAGCAGGTTGAGGAACCAAAGCTTTATCAGATCTTATTCACAGATGGCCTCCAAAACCAAATATATTACAACGCCAATTTTTTATGTGAATGCCGGTAAATCGATGTATAAACTACATACTTCCTAACACTATCCTCAAAGTTGATCCATATACATCCTAAAATTACTTGATCGTCCTTTTTTTGGCAATTCACAGCTCCTCACATTGGTCACCTATACACAGCAGTTGTAGCTGATTGCATAGCCAAGTTTAATCAAATGCAAGGACACCAGACTGTTCTGAACACCGGCACCGACGAGCATGGCAATAAAGTTCAGCGCGCAGCCAAACAGCTGAGCCTTCCAGTTGACCTATACTGCGAATTAACGTCGAAAAAATTCCGAGAGATGTGCGAACACTTCCAAGTCGATTATACGAATTTCATAAGAACGACGGAGCCCCATCATCAGAAGACTGTGCAATATTTTTGGGTGATTATTTTTAACCATTTAATACCAATTGATGGGCCTTGCGTGGTGTTATAACTTTAGTATTATGAGCTTTTAGAAACTCCTGGAGGAGAAAAATCACATCTACAAGGGAAAGTATACTGGCTGGTACTGCGTGCCCGACGAGGCGTTTCTGTTTGACCAGGATTTGGTTGACAAAAAAACCCCATCCGGCGATACAATAAAAGTTTCAGCCGAGTCAGGTCATCCCGTTGAGTGGACCGAGGAAGATAACTACAAGTTTCGCTTGAGTTCGTTTCAAGACGACTTGCGGCACTGGTTGAAAGATGGTAATTAACAGACACGTCAAACGGACGCAACAATGTTCGAATGCTTATTGCAACAAAACATTCATGCGCAGAGAAAGTGGTTCAGCCATCGGTGTATCACAAAATATTGTCCCAATGGGTCGAGGACGAGAGGTGCTTGGCGGATTTGAGCATTTCGAGACCTCGAAGCAGAGCACCCTGGGGCATTCGTACGCCTAGTGATCCAGATCAAACGATATACGTGTGGCTGGATGCTCTAGTCAACTATTTAACGGTACTCGGGTACCCTCATCGGGAATTCAAGCAATTTTGGCCACCCACCGTGCAGGTGTGAATTATATATTCATCATTTAAAAAAAAATGTTCTTCTTTGATGTTAAATATGAAAACGACGAAATTTTAGGTGATTGGGAAGGATATTTTGAAGTTCCACGGGATTTATTGGCCGGCATTTTTAATGGCAGTGGGCCTGGAGCCACCGAAAACTCTGCTCTGTCACTCACACTGGACAGTGGACAACGAAAAAATGTCGAAATCCAAGGGAAACGTCGTATCACCTTTCGACGCTGCCAAGCAATTTTCGGCCGACGGGTTGAGGTATTTTCTCCTCAGAGATTCCGTTCCACACAACGATGCCAGTAAGCAAAATATACAGTTTGACGTATGATCAGTCGATGATGGGCTCCCATGACAAACCCACCTTATAATTACAGACTACAGCACAGAGAGGGTTCTGAACGTACTGAACTCGGAGCTCGCCGACACCCTGGGAAATCTGATAAACAGGTGCACAGGCAAACTCGTGAACCCTAAACAGGAAATTCCCAGCGCTGCAGGGCACGGTCGCTTCTTGAAATCCGAGGTCGCCCAAAGCCTACGCGCAAGCATGGAAGCCCTCGGTGACACCGCCAAGCAGCACTACGAGTCGTTCTACGTCCATCACGTGGTCGACGCGGCCATGTCGACCGTGCGGTGTGCCAATGCCGTGGTCGAGTATCACAAGCCCTGGTCTCTGCGCAAGGAGCCCGATAACGAGGCAGCAGTCGCGGAACTGAAGGCCGTCATCGCCTTGGCTCTGGAGGCCACGAGAATCAGTGCTTTGGTGCTGTACCCGGTGATGCCGGCCTTGAGCACGGTCGTGCTGGACTTTTTGAACGTCCCGATGAACGAGAGGTCTTGGAAGCACACGAAACCAGTTTACTTGAACTCCACAGCATCGACCGAGTCGGAACCATTCGGTCATTCGAATACCATTATTTTTCCCAAAATCAAGCTGGCAGCCTAGGGCTGTTTCAATTTTTTACCGATTGTTGCATTTCGTTGTTTCAAAAACTTTGTTCACCATATACTTTTGTACGTTACGATCTAATTTGTGATAATAAAACATAGATTGATTATCTTCAAGCTTTGTGCATCAAGTTTTATTGTACCATGTAAAAAGGTATGGAGCAATATAATGATTTGTCGGGAACGGGTGTCAATGTCAGTGAATCATAGATATTTCATGGATTCAGGCGATTTTCTTATTTTAATTTATTTACAGAAAACCAATCATTCAAATACATATTTAATGTGTACGTTTATAATTATTTCGCACATACAACACTTGAACGAGTCAAAACGGAATTCTTTCTTACAATTTTGGAGCTCGTAAAACGTGAATTAATGTTATCTACATTATTTATGTACAAAAATCTTAAGTCAAAGTGAAAGAAAAAACGGAGTATCACAGTAAACGATACTTGAAATGCTTAGGATTGCCAGGTGTCCGATTTTCTTACTGTTTGTCTGGTCTGAAAAATTACGATGAACTCAAACATAGTAAGTCCGATTTTTGTGGTAATATCACCCGTACTCTAATCATATGAAGCGCTACAAAAAAAATATTTATGCTCAAGGAGCACAATACTTGATAACAGTTTTTAGCTATTAATATAGAGAGATAGGTAATACTTATACTAAAAATAATACACCTTGTCTAGTTTTTTTTTAAACACACCTGACAACCCTAAATATATTGCAGAAAGTTGAAAAAAGGTAAATTATACTAAATCGATTAGACTAGCCCATCGAAAATCATAAACTGGTAATCTCATCGCGGTAAATCGTACATTATTTTACTATATAGAGCTGTGTAGAGTTTTGTTATTCGCAGGAAGCTCGTCAGAACTCGCCAATGCGCTGCAATCGTTTATTCGTCTCCAGTTTATTTTCTCTTCACTGGCTGTTTGAATGGAAATGTCGATTCCTCTCTGTTATTTTTCGGACGGTTCCTCGTACTTTTTTTTTTCTTTTTTTTTTTTTTTTTCTTCTTTTTTTGCTACGATGACACGGATGTGTCCCGTGTACAGCACGACAGAATCGAGTTTACAATGTTTGCCTCATTTATACATTTTTCTTAATAACTATTTTCTCGTGCGCCGTATGCATTTAAGTAATTTATTTTATTTTTATTTTTGCAACACTGACCGACGCACGAAACGCATCACAACATCGTCATAAATTTTTTTTACTAATAATTTTTTCTATTATTTATGATACATCTATATATCGCATCGATGCATACCCATAATTATGGCGGTTACGAAAGTGCGCGTGTGAGTCGGAGAAAAGTAAAATTTGTTGACGATTATTTACATAAAACAATGATAAAAGTAAACTGTCCGTAAACGCGAGAGCAGCGCTTAAATATACATTTATGTATTGCTATTTTACAAATTACCTAATCGATAAATTGCAGTTAACGAATGTTTTTACATCTACTTCATCAATTATCAACAAATAATTACCTTCTAAAAGAATATAATACTCGAATGAATCGAGATAAATTTTTTTTTTAATAGTAATTTTTTTCTA